GGTGGATACAAGATATTGAAGAGGCACTGGCTGTGAAAGCACAAAGGTGGATCCAAGATATTGAAGAGGCACTGGCTGTGAAAGCACAAAGGTGGATACAAGATATTGAAGAGGCACTGGCTATGAAAGCACAAAGGTGGATACAAGATATTGAAGAGGCACTGGCTATGAAAGCACAAAGGTGGATACAAGATATTGAAGAGGCACTGGCTATGAAAGCACAAAGGTGGATACAAGATATTGAAGAGGCACTGGCTATGAAAGCACAAAGGTGGATACAAGATATTGAGAGAGGCACTGGCTATGAAAGCACAAAGGTGGATACAAGATATTGAAGAGGCACTGGCTATGAAAGCACAAAGGTGGATACAAGATATTGAAGAGGCACTGGCTATGAAAGCACAAAGGTGGATACAAGATATTGAAGAGGCACTGGCTATGAAAGCACAAAGGGCACTGATGAAAGCAAGATATTGAAGAGACACTGGCTATGAAAGCACAAAGGTGGATCCAAGATATTGAAGAGGCACTGGCTATGAAAGCACAAAGGTGGATACAAGATATTGAAGAGGCACTGGCTATGAAAGCACAAAGGTGGATACAAGATATTGAAGAGGCACTGGCTATGAAAGCACAAAGGTGGATACAAGATATTGAAGAGGCACTGGCTATGAAAGCACAAAGGTGGATACAAGATATTGAAGAGGCACTGGCTATGAAAGCACAAAGGTGGATACAAGATATTGAAGAGGCACTGGCTGTGAAAGCACAAAGGTGGATACAAGATATTGAAGAGGCACTGGCTGTGAAAGCACAAAGGTGGATCCAAGATATGAAGAGGCACTGGCTGTGAAAGCAAAGGTGGATTCAAGATATTGAAGAGGCACTGGCTGTGAAAGCACAAAGGTGGATACAAGATATTGAAGAGGCACTGGCTGTGAAAGCACAAAGGTGGATTCAAGATATTGAAGAGGCACTGGCTGTGAAAGCACAAAGGTGGATACAAGATATTGAAGAGGCACTGGCTATGAAAGCACAAAGGTGGATACAAGATATTGAAGAGGCACTGGCTATGAAAGCACAAAGGTGGATACAAGATATTGAAGAGACACTGGCTATGAAAGCACAAAGGTGGATACAAGATATTGAAGAGGCACTGGCTATGAAAGCACAAAGGTGGATACAAGATATTGAAGAGGCACTGGCTATGAAAGCACAAATGTGGATAAAAGATATTGAAGAGGCACTGGCTATGAAAGCACAAAGGTGGATACAAGATATTGAAGAGGCACTGGCTATGAAAGCACAAAGGTGGATACACGATATTGAAGAGGCACTGGCTATGAAAGCACAAAGGTGGATACAAGATATTGAAAGGCACTGGCTATGAAAGCACAAAGGGCTAGAGAAATGGCTAGAGAAAGACAGACTTGCATACATGCCATGAAGAGACCGACCCCCTCAAAGGTGGATACAAGATATTGAAGAGGCACTGGCTATGAAATCACAAAGGGCTAGAGAAAGAACAGACTTGCATACATGCCTTGAAGAGGCCGACCCCCTCAAACGTGGATACAAGATATTGAAGAGACACTGGCTATGAAAGCACAAAGGGCTAGAAAATTGGCCAGATAAAGAACAGACTTGCAGACGTGCCATGAAGAGAGCGGTGCTCTGTAAAGGACCTGCTCATTGATGATGATGCTGAATTGTGCTATACATTATGTCAAGGAAGTCAACACGTCAGTCTGGTGTTCCTAGGTTCAATGTCCCCTTAGATAGAAGATGTTTTTTTTTCTATGGCTGGATGGCTGGCCCAGTCCCAGAGAAAAGGTAGCAAAATTATTTCTGCGTAGTCAAGGTGACCGCTGATCACTGCACAAGTGCTAGCTGGTCTTGCACCAGAACCATAATAAGCCACATAATACAGAATTGAAGTCTTTGGTTTCTTTAATATTTTCAGAGAAGACAAACACACAGTTTACAGTTCTTTTAAATTGTACAAAGATATTAAATGTTACATTAGTATACAAAGTGTATGTGTTCTCATCTATGGATCAAAGTCTTTTGGAAGATTGTGGAAATAACTTCAAAGACGAATACAGTAAAACAATGTTAAGAAATTAGCAATAGTACTAAAAGCAAAAATAAAACTTAAGTAAGGTTAATAATTAAGTATCTCCACATTGATTTTGTCAATAGAACTTAAAACTTCTGAAACATTAACCACTACCAAAGAACATATAGAATATAGACCATCAACAAAGAACATGAGAAATATTTAGATGCATTTTACGACATGCAGCATGTGGAATTTCAAATGAAAAAGAAAATTGTATTTGATCCAGGAAGGTATAAACAAATATAGAACATAAAACACAACAATAAGTATATGCGTTGTCGGGATCCCCACTTAAATTCCTGAATGTGTGTTTTGTTTTCCCCAGAAAGACTTCGTGTGTTATTCTATCAGATATGATAGTGCGCACAGGAGGTGGCAGTCGCTCTGACAAGCAAACTGGCCATGATATGAGAGATTCGCTTACCCAGAGCTTACTGAGAGAAGTGCAACAATTTCCATCATCATCATGTAGCAGGCCCTTTGCAGAACGTAGCTCTCATCACAGTCTCCATGAAAGAAACTCGGTCTCTTGCCAGTTCTCCCGCCTCATGAACTTTCACACTCAAGGAGTCACTTATGTCCTGTGTCCATCTTCGTGTCGGTCGGCCCCTGCCCCTCCTTCCTGGTACCATGCCTTCTGCTATAATTTTTCCAATCCGTCGTGGCGGTTGATATGACCAAAATATTTCAGCTTTCGAGAAAGGATGCTGTTTATTAGCCAATCCTCCTTGATGTTCAGATCTTTTAAGATGTCATTATTTCTCATCTTCTTTGTCCAAGATATTCTGAGAATCTTTCTACAACATTTCAGCTCAAAAGCCCCTATTCGCTTTCTTAAGGACTGACAGATAGTCCACGACTCACATCCGTATGTAGCCACAGGAAAGATGCATGCTCTCAAAATTCTAATTTTTATTTCCTTGGTGGTGTTTAACCATCGACTTTTAAGGCTGTTCAATCTTTGCTTTGCTATGGCCATCCTCCTTTTAATTTCTGTCGAACAGTCTCCATTGTTGTTTATTATAGAGCCTAGATATTCAAAGTTTGTGGCATTTTCAATTTCTTTATCATTTATTGTTATTTTTGGGTGATAGCCAGTTTTATCTGTGGACATTATTTTTGTTTTCTTTAAATTCAAGAACAGATTTTGATCTTCACTGTGCTTTTGGACGGACAATTAAATTTTCTATTCCCTTTACGCTGTTCGAAAGCAGGACTCTGTCATCTGCGTAGCGGAGTTCCGAAATAGGGTTGCCAGCAATGCAACAATTCCAGTCAATCAAAATATGAGTTAACATACTTGTACTGCTGCACTGAATACAAAATGAGGAAATATGTTGACAGTTTAACATAAATGACTTTACTTCCTTTTTTAGGTATATTATCATGATTGACATCGCTGCACACTCTCATGCGTGCTCAGTCCTCTGATGCAGCAGCCACTCCTAGGTACCTCTTCTGATTTATCCCAAAGTTGTCTACAATGCTTCATATCTTGACTGCGAATATGATAAACCGTGCTTCACTCTGAGATCAGTAAGTGAATAGAAGGGAAACTCTTGAAGACATAGACATAATAAACGAATAGACAGTGTATTGATTGTCCCAAGTAGAAAGATAGGACACACTAGGCAACATAGAAATCGAAAGCTAGAGCTGTCGTGCGGGGAATCGAATCTGTCACCTCCAAATGACGAATTTGCCTTGCTGTGGAGACATGTATTAATTAATATACATGACCCCCCAATCCTAAACAAGGTGTCTTCATGAGCAATGTCTATCGTACAGCTGGCAATCCACAACTAAACAATACGGACATAATTGGTCTTAAACCATTGAAGTGGCACCACAGGCTACATAAACCTATATTAATCAAGCATTGGTGACAACACTTGTGGGTTCCTGGCCTATCTGGGAACAAATGGGAGGGAGGTGGGGGTATAACATGGTGTAAGCAGCGGATGACAACAGACAGGATGCCTTTACATACAATGTTCGTACCTCTGCTCTCTAATGGGGGATATACGACATCAGATCAGTGGCTCCCAACCTTCCCAAAGCCGCGACTCTTTAATAGAGTTACCTCATAATGTGGTGACCAATGTGAAAGGGTTGTTTGACCCCAAAAAAGGGTCGTGACCCGCAGGTTAAGAACCACTGCATTAGATGAACAGAACAGAATTCGCACTCATGCAGCCGTTGTCAATCCTGTACTTTTTTGTTTTCGTAATTTATTAAGGAAAAAAAAAAAATGTTGTCTAGTCGCCTTAACCTCGCCCCAACACTGGACGCATTTTTTTTATTGTAAAGTTCTACCCCAGCTGTAGTCGGGGGGCTTATTATAACCTAACGGTTGAACAGTTTCTGTGACGTGTACCCTGGTGATTCACATCCGAATGGAGATACTTTGTGTCACCAGGTGTTTGTCGCTCGTTGTGCAGTCCAGGTGGGGTTTAACGTCAGTTATATTGTCTAGTGCATTCTCTAATGTCTACGTCTTTCAGGTGCCTTCTGTGAGCAGTGACCAGTATCTGTTTCCCGCCTCACTGAGTGAATGTGAAAGAAAACCACAAACCTGCAAGATAACCCGGAAGGAAAAACTTGGACAGTTAACTGGGGTCGCTGCCCTTTCCCTTAAAGCTTGCAGTGGTAGGTACGACTTCGATTTGATACACTTAAACGTTGTCTTCTTGGGGAGAGAAAGGTAACCTCACACTATGCGCTGTGAATATGTTTAATAAATTATGTTATTGTGCAATATTTACTTAATCTACTGGTTTTATTTGTTCTAAATTCAGAATCCCATCTGTTTGAAACTCTGCGGTGTAGAGTTATAGACTCACTGACTCAGTGACTGTGTTGTGTGTGTGACAGGGAAATGGCTGCTATCGTTTCCAGCATATTCCGGCGCGGTTTGTTTCTAAATAAAGTTGCCATTGTGACAGGAGGAGCTACAGGGATTGGGAAAGCGATCACTAAAGAACTTCTTTACCTTGGTAAGTTAGATACGGTGTGAAAACGTTTTCCACAGCCAACGGTCAACAGTTACTTAACCATATTGATTGGGCAGTCGTCTGCTAACTGGAGAGGGCAGACTTTGAACTTTGACCTTTCTTGTGTTATCTTTCTATATAGGATGCATGTTTGTAATAGAAGAATGTTGACGCAGTGTGGAGCAATCTGAAGTAAGTCTGGATTGTGGACGCATCTTCTTTCACCCAGGAGAACTCCAACCATAGGGGCACAGATTTAAATGCAACCAAAACACACTGAGAAGGGAACTAGCTATAAGCTTAGTTTGAAAGAGAGAGAGGACAGGAGATGAGCTGCTGCCAGTAGCAAATGATACAAATACAATGACTTGGTGTGAGTTTGTCTAGGGTCTGTGCTCTTTTGGGAGATACAGGAGAATATGTGAATTACTTGGACTGTACTATTATTTGCACTATCTGTACAACTCTTTAAATGACCCAGTTCATACATGTGCACTATTAAGGACCCTTTTCCGCGCCTTCAGGCATATTGGGCATATAGGGTTAGACCTGTATTGTATAGACCGTTTAGAACTCTATGGTTGATTTAGTCATCACGCCAGCTGCTTTTACTTCCCAGGATTTTACCTGGTACCCATTTAAGGCTGGGTCGAGCAAATTCTGTTATTTCAGTGAAACTGTCCACCAGATTGCTGGTTACTTGCCAGCAGTCAGTGTCAGAGTTACTGAAGGAGCAGATTGTTTGGCTACATGAGGGATAAGGAAAAGATACTTTAGATTATAAGGACATTTGAGCAGTAACAGTTCAAAGATCGATGTAAGATGGCAAATTTGAAAAATGCATGAATTTCCTTTTAAGAGGTCGTGCTGAGGATGCCATTGAACATGTTTGCCATCATTAATTTTGGAATTAAATGAATACCCATGCCTCTGCTCCAAACATTAATATTACAGTCCACATCACACTTGATGGAAGCTGTAGAGAGCATATTCCTGGCATTGTGGACACTTTAGTCAGAACACTGATTGATGGAAACTCAGGTGAAGGTGATGTTGTAGTTTACACAGACGGATCAGTAATTTGGGGCAAGTGAAGTGCATAGGCATGCACAGTAAGCTCAAGAGGGGAGGGGGGGGGCAGTCAAGGAGATCAATGGCACCTTTGCTATTACAGCTAGTAACCTTACAGTGGAAACTATGGCTGTAACAAAGGTATTAGCATGGCTTGGTACTCAAGAGTTCACACAACCTGTGCATACTTAGTAACTCGATGAATATGCTTTAAAAAATCCAATTTGGTTTCATCAGACAAGAATAGATTGGAACACTCAGCGCTTCGCGAATGGCTGCCCTAACCTTCATCTTTGCACCAGGTCATGCGGGTGTTCAAGGGAACGAGCGTGCAGATTATCTTGCAGACATTTCATTAAGTGGACAATACTTTTCATTAATCAACACAGAGCAGCCATCATCAGTTGTTTTACACTTGTGGAGCTTTTAAGGAGCAGATAAGAGCATCTGTGGATCTGTCTGAAGTGCTGTCATCATAACCCTTACTAATCACTAACCCTTACTAATCACTAATCCTTACTAATCACTAATCCTTACTAATCACTAATCCTAACTAATCACTAATCCTTACTAATCACTAATCTGCACCTTTTGTGTGCTACAAAAGTTGGAGTTTATTCAGTGTGAAAATGTCAACTGTTGTTAGAATCAATGAATCATTATTTAATAAAATTTCCTTAAATAGTTTGTCATGAAAACTAACAGTAAGTAGCAGTCATCTTGGCATAAGAACGTATCTTTACAGTATGAAAATTGATAGGAAAATTACCCCCCAAAAAGTCAAATTTAAAGCCAGTCTGTCTGTGTTGTCGGCTCTGTGGCTAAGTCGATGCGAACGCTTCGTAATGCTGGGATGCCGGGTTCGATCCCAGCTGCGGCCCATGCGCCTTGCGCTGGTTTCGACAGTGGTATCAAGAAAGCTGACCGTCCAGAAAGCAATGGCAAACTACTGGACGTTAATTTGCCTCGAAAAACCACACAACAGCCAGGGGCTGTTGTTGTTGGTTCTGCAGCGTCATGTAAAGGATACGCAACTAACCTGTATGTGTTGTGTTGAATCATGACCAGTTATGCTACATCCCAAGATGCCACTGTTCAGATGGAAAGTTCTGCTACCAGTCTTGAACACCCACATAGTTTCTGAGCTTGAGGAAGGGGGCAGATGGGCTCAAGTGTCTAATTCTTGTGGATATACCTCCTTCCAACAAAGGAAAACCATTCTCAGGGTTCAGATGACACCTGAACATTAATGTTATATGTGATCCAGGGGAAGGATCGCAGATCTGGCGCAATGTCTAGGGGTGATAATCAGGCTTCGCCCATACATACTAGAAGTTCTCTAATTAACCACGTAACTACAAACACTAGAATCACAAGGTCAACTCCAGTGCACTAAAATTCATTTATCATTTCAGTAATAGTGCATCAGTCTCTTTATTATGAACGAAACGCCTTACAATGAAGATGAGTGGTGATTGATGGCACACTGTCTTCCAAAATATTCATATCGGCAGTCACTCCAGACATGGACAAAACACTTTAGCGAACTAAGTCCTAGGTGCCTCCAATGGAAAACTCACACTCAGCCATGTAGATACATCTATGTGATATACGAGACCACCCCCTAATGGCTGTTCCACCAGGGGACCCATCAATCTGAGGGTTTGAAGTAGATGCACCATACGGTAAAGTTAAAAAGAAATCCAGACCGCAGTCTGCTACCGAGACACTGAAGTATCCGCTGATACTTCTACCCATCACAACTACATGTTGGTTAACAAACAAGATCCCCTGGCACCTTTCATGCCCTTAGAGATTCCAATCCATGATATATCCCATAGCCGCAGGACTGTCAGCTCCACAATGCAAGGCATTCTAGACATTACTGACAGAATTCCCAAAAGTCTATCTCACGATCCACCAAACAATGATACAATTAACATGAGCTTTAACAGGTAAAATAACTTTGTTAAAGCACACGCACTGAAACAACTCATACACAAACACGTCCTCATACTAAGACTGACTGAGAGGCACTGACGTGGACAGACATGGGTTCACTTTCAGTGGCTCCGGTCACGCTTGGGTCTCAGAACACCTATGGAGACCGCTGTTACCCATTAATTTAAAGAAACACTAGTCCCACGTGTTAAGTAGCGTGGACTTTTTGCACTCATCTCTGCCATCATCATCATTTACGACTAGTGTAGGCAATCACACCTCAGACCTGTGGGACAGAAAAGTGAGTTCAGCACACAACAATTAACACGCTGAACTTCAGACTTAAAATTTACTCCTGGAAAATTAATAACCAATAAATTGTTAATTATTAGTCCTTGACACAGCATCCAATTTATCGGCTGCTTTGTGCTTTTACTAGACAACTTTGGGCTTCACCAAAATAACCATCAAACTAAAATAACAGTTGCCTGAGGGATGGGGGGGCGCACTTGTGCACACACACACACACACGCGCATGCACACACACGCACACACACACACACGCATGCATGCACACACACGCACACACACACACACGCATGCATGCACACACACACACTCACACACACACACACACACTAAAGGGAAAGCTGGCAACAAGTAAGATCATCAAATAATTCTTCTTCTTCTTCTTCTTCACTTCCTCTTTTACCGCTGTGGGTGTCGAGGGAGATATAAGGTTCTGTTTCTAGCTCTTCTGGCTGCCTCGACCATAGGCACATCGTGCTGTTGTAGAGTTTCTCTGATGTTATCCTTCCATCTTGTTCTTGGTATCAAATAATATCAAATAATTAACAGGATAAAATACAGTTTAGTTTGATGTCACCTACAGAAAACAAGCACAAAAGTGTAAAATCTATGTCAGAACTGAATGACAGCACAAGAATCAGAAGGCTGTGGTCAAAGATGATGATCAGTGCCCCAAAGCACTGTCTCTAAGAAGCTATTTTAAAACTTAGAGCATGTGTTGTGTATGTGACAGTCTGACGTAAACTCACCCTTTTTTGGGGGGATGGTATTGTCTACCTGGGCCATCTGCTTTAAAATAGTCTTGAGACAGAAAGGTTAAAGTTAAGAGAATTGACCTCATTGCACCAAGATACTCCATTTAGAAAAAAAGTACCAACTGATTAGCACTACCATATTCCACATGTCAACAGGCTAAAAAAGTGAGAAGTGTTAAAGTTAAGAGAATTGACCTCATTGCACCAAGATACTCCATATAGCCTAGTCACTCTCTGCAGAATGGCTAGCCACCTGCCGAAAATGTCTCACACAGCATGGACTCTGTAGCTCCAGCGTTGATCCCCAGGGATCACCATAAAAACTACAGTTGTGAAAAGAACTCTTGACCTTCAAAGTATGGGGCAAACAGCTTGACCACTTCTCCATGGAGATCCCCAGAGAGATTGCAGATTGAACAGGATCAGTTTTAACAGACACATTATCTGTTGCCAGGGTGTAATGTGGTGATTGCGTCCAGAAAGCTTCAGAGACTCAACGACGCAGCAGCCGAAATTAGCCAGTGGCTACAAGATGGCAGTGTCCATATATCTGGTAATAACCATATGTTAATTACCCTAACTCATGAAAACACTGATAGTTTCTTCGCTATTTTATGTATAAATTTATGTGTAATTTGATTAAGTTATTTAAAGTTCAAAAGATGAGATGTTGTTTAATCTGTAAGTTGATCCACTGGTTAAATTATTTAAACTTCAATAGAAGAAATGGGAACAGTTTACCGCATTGTCTCTGCAAGCACCTAATATTCTTATTGGACTATCAGATATAACAGTAAAATGTGCCAACTGAAATTGACTTGAGTGTGCATCTGAAGAAATTATTTTTGTTTTTTCAAAAGTGGTTGCATGTATTTCAGATGTTTTTGTTGGTAATGTCACCACAAAGGCATTCCATGGAGTTTTCCTTTAGTACGTAGATACATTGTAAAGGAACTCTTTGAAGTATTTAGAGCGGTGTGTGAAAATATGTTACAGAAATCACTAGACAAAGCTAATATCACACTTGAAGATTCAATGTAAGACTTTTTTTTTTTTAGTCACAACATCATTATCTTTACCAACTGATGTTTTATTGGTTGTAGAAAACTTGGCGGTTGAGGGCTGATATTGGGGAGGTAACTCTAAAGAGTCGATACCTACCCGTTGATAAATCATTCAGTTTGTTCCCTTCTGAGATGCTACCTAAAGGTTAACCAAAACATCCTCACTCTGGATGGCATATCCCAGTTACCCCATTCATCCTCGAGAGAAGTATATTACAACACAGGCTGTTTTTACTGTGGATACTTTATTGTTCTAACAGGTTTGCTGATGCTATAGCTGAAGGCTGTGTAGCTCAGGAAATTGCAGTTTCATCAAAACTAGAAGAAAGCATCACTTTTTAAGGACAGTTTAAAATCAGCAAGATTGATTTCATGTGCCCCAGGTTTTTTTTCCTGCATGGCTCAGTCTCTTCACAGAATGGCTAGCTGCCTGTCAAATCATCACATGCAGCATGAACCCTGTAGCTCTGGTGACAGTCCACAAGAGATCTCTGTAAAAATTGCATTTGTAAACTAAGGTGCCGTCGTTGTGAAATAAAACCGCAACCTTCAGAGTTTAGGGACAAACAGCACAATCACTTCACCACGGAGACCCTTCTAAAAATGAAAATTCTCAGACTAACTGTAAAAGACCAGATACCCAATTAAACATCCAAGAAAGTTATAATTAAGGCCTGTAATGGACACACCAGTGCACAGGGACTGCAGCTTAAAGAGGTTACACGCCCACTTGCCCACAGATTATTCAGAAACAAAAAGTACCAGCTGATGACTGCTACAATATGCCACATGTCAGCAGGCTAAAAAAGTTAGAAGTGCCCAGGTATCCTGGCTTCAATGATGAAGTCAAAGTTTCATTACAGAAGGTCATGTTTTAACTCCTCATCCTACAGGTTGAGAGGTTAATTTCTGGAACACTTCGGATGTTTGGCCAACTAGATTTTGTGGTGAATAATGGTGGAGGCCAGTTTATAAGTAGAGCGGAGGACATCAGGCTCAAAGGATGGCATGCTGTGCTTGAGACCAACCTCACAGGAACGTTTCTCATGTGTCGGGCAGGTAAGGTTAACCCTTTCTCCCCACGGATGCTAATAAACTGGGTCATGAACTCGTCTGAATTCCCGGAGAGAAAAAAAATCAGTTAAAAGTAAAAAGAAGCGACTAGAACTAGCGAACTAGGTTTAACCTTCTTGGGACGATAGATGATACTTGCGTGACAAGCAAAGCTTGACTCTTTGTTCACTCAAATTGAGGTGAAGATTAAGTTGTTAGGATTCCTCGGTTTTAAAACAGCATCATGACACTGGAGAACTCTTAGTTGCTTCTGCTGCATGTATCGTAAAGTATATATAAGTGCCAGATGTATTTTTCAAAGTCTCTATTGCACTGGTTTTAATCTCAGTACATTGGCATTAATCTCTGCTCTACTGGTATTGGTATTAATCTCTATTCCACCAATATTAATCTCTACTCCACTGGAATTAATCTCTACTCCACTGGTATTAATCTCTACTCCACTGGTATCAATCTCTACTCCACTGGTATCAATCTCTACTCCACTGGTATTAATCTCTACTCCACTGGTATCAATCTCTACTCCACTGGTATCAATCTCTACTCCACTGGTATCAATCTCTACTCCACTATTCCAATCTCTAATATCAATCTCTACTCCACTGGTATTAATCTCTACTGGTATCAATCTCTACCACTGGTATCAATCTCTACTCCACTGGTATCAATCTCTACTCCACTCGGTATTAATCTCTACTCCACTGGTATCAATCTCTACTCCACTGGTATCAATCTCTACTCCACTCGTATCAATCTCTACTCCACCCTGTTTTACCAGTTTTAGGCCGGTAAATACTTTATTTAAAAAATCTCGACTCTACTTTGAATTAATCTCTAAACCACTGATAATTATCCTGTACTTCTGTGGTGATGAATCTCTATATTCCATTTGCTCATTAAAAATTGTTCAACACATTCGTTATGTTTGTGTATGAATTCTTGGGCCTTTTTTAAAACAAATAGTAACAGGTAACTTTAAGTAAAGTAAGTGACTAAACAAGGGTTTGCAGCAGGATCACCAAGTTGACCCAGGTCTAAGATGGGTGTTATGAAGTTTTCTGGGAAGTAAAGGGGATCAGTATGATACTGACGACGTCACCCATCAAGTGCTGATTGGTCTATAACAAATATGGGCCTCACGGCATAGAGAAGGGTCCTTTAATTATGTTTTTACCACTTGATTAATCTCATAAAGAAAACTGATTGTCCACAGCAGAAGGAGATCATTTATATTCTTTGGTCATGTCATGAGAAGGAGGAAACTGGAGTATGGTGGGACAGTTGGAGGGGAAAAGAGAGGCAGGTGGAGACCAATAGAGAAAGGTGCTGGATGGTTGGCATCATTGTATGGAAGGTCATCTGTGTCAGAACTGAATGAAAGTACGCAAGAAGAAGGTTGGGGATATACATGATTACCATCGCTACAACTGTGTAAAGAAGATTAATTTCTTCTTTATGAGGAATCATTTTTGACACCACTTGTAGAGTCATCTGTCCTCCATTGAGGACTGGACCATTACCACAGTCATGATAAGCCAGTGAACTAATTACATAACCAAGGATTTTCTTTGTTACTTTAAAAAAAAAAAAGTATGTCTTGATGCTTGCGTTTCTCAGCCTACAGGCAGTGGATGAAGGATCATGGTGGAGCCATTGTCAACATCACCATGGATATGTGGAGAGGCTACCCACTCATGAGGTGAACATGTGTTTGTATTTCCAGAGAAACAGGATTTCTATTCTTAGTACTAGCCAGAAGATGTTCCAAATCAACGAGTTGACCCAGCCGGGTAAAACTGGTCCCAGTTTCCTTGAGGAGAGTGGAAATAGCAGAGTAGTGCTGAAAATTTAACCCCCATACCTTGTTTGGTGATGACAAATTTCCCTCTTCTTCTTTTCTTCACACTCACCACCTGTAAAATCTGGCAGAAAGTTCTAGTTGTTTGTCCACTTAATGGAGTTAGTCTCATTAAGAACTAAATTTTGCATGCATGTCTATTTTACAGAATTGGCTTATCTGTAAGCAGGCTGTTGGTTTCCCAACTCTCAGGCAGATGCACTCTGTCTTTAAAGGAAACACACCAAATTAGTCAGTCTGTTTGACATGCCTGTTAGGACGGCAATGTGTCTATGCATGACCCCCTAAAATGGGGTCCCAGAACCCACAGTGGAACGAACATTTAAAACATAACTGTGTATTATTAATTGTTGCATTTGGCATGTTTTTGTGTAAATGTGTGTGTGTATGCGTTTGTGTGTCTGTCTAGGTCCATCAGCTCAAACAGTCAGTTAGTGGGTCCTTTACAGAACGTCTATCTCTTCAAGTCATGCCTGAAAATCTCTTTTTCTCTAGCAAATTCTCCAGCCCTGTGGTTTCAGAGCCAATGGTTCTTCAGTTTCTTGTTTCCACAATCGTGGAGGTTGGTTTCTACCTCGTTTTCCTGAGACTCTACTCTCCATCACTGTTTTTCCTTTCTACCGTGGCGCTTGACATGTCCAAAATACCTCAGGGGAGGATGCTGTTGATGAGCCAGTTCTCCTTGATCTTCAGGTCATACAAGATGTCAACATTTTTACTTTCTTTTTGGTCTAGGGTGTTCTAAGACTGAGTGAGAGTCCATGACTCACATCCATGTTGCCCCAAGAAAGACGCATGATCTCAAACTTGTTACTTTCCTTCCTTTCAGGTGCTGCACAATAGCTTTTTTCATTCACCAGCTGTAAACTCCAATTTGTGTGTGTGTGTGTATATGTGTGTGTGTGTGTTTTATGTGTGGGATAGGATCATGCAGTTGACTTGCTAGGCCATGCCATCCGCCGAGTAAATTAAAAATATACTGTAAACATTGGTAAGACTCATAGACATGAAATTGAAGAACGCAGAACAGACAAAATGCTGGACAATCTGGTATCATGGCGAGGAAAGATATCAGTCAGTAACTTGCACCAGGGTGACAGGTGTCTGAAGAGATATGGACATCAAAGCCCGTCAGCCAGGTGCTTGAAGAGGTGGGTAATTATTGTTGATTTTGCTGTCAGTGAATGGCTGATGTAACAGATATTTCTGGTCTTGTTGTAGCCACTCAGGTGCAGCAAGAGCTGGTGTAGACAACTTGACCAAGTCTCTGGCCGTAGAATGGGCACACAGCCATGTGCGGGTCAACAGTGTTGCACCGGTAATATTTTATCTCATGTTGTTCAGCTTAACTTAGTCCCAGGTAGCTAATTATTGTGACACTTCTTACCCTAAAGTGGTAATATTTTAGAGCAACAATTTTAGGATCTTACTAAAGAAATGCAATACAGCTATGACACAAAAGGAGTTAAAGTATAAAACTTATAAAGTAGATGACTGTAAGAGAAGAAGATACATAGATTAATAAATGACCATAAAGCACATTCACTGGAACTGAAAGAGTTAAAACAGAAATGGATTTAAACTCTTTTGCCTTATTGCTTGAGAGTTACCTTATCTTGACTGTCTCATGTAATTCTTATGAAAGAGTTAATTTGGTGTAGTAATGAGTTGACAGTTGTTGGAGTCAGGTTTTCCTAGTGTTTCTTTGAATTTGTTCCCAGTTTGGAGGGAAGGTAATCACATCTAGTTATCCACTATTTTAACACAGAGTCACTGTTAACTAGATAAACAGTGTACTTTGAGAAAAACAAAAAAACAATCCAATCTATCAGAAGAGAACGGAATCAGGCCAGTGGTGACAACCACACACTTGATCAGCTTTGACAGGTCATCATCTTTGTTTGAGCGACAAAAGCTGTACACACTTTTATGAAATATCAGCTTTTTCGACAAGTAGCTTCAGGTTGTACATGCCCCTTTTACCACCAACAGACTATAAAATTATCTGTACATAAGTTTATCACTTCTTTATCTTCAAACCTATTGCACTTCTGTTATTTCATTGATTATCACTGCATAAGCTAGTTATCTTAAATGTTATCACTTCTGTTATCTTCATAACCTAATTATCACTTCTGTTATCTTCATAACCTAATTATCACTTCTGTTATCTTCATAACCTAATTATCACTTCTGTTATCTTCATAACCTAATTATCACTTCTGTTATCTTCATAACCTAATTATCACTTCTGTTATCTTCATAACCTAATTGGCACAAAGTGTATTATTATTATTAGCAACATCGCATAATTTATTGTCATTGTTGTTATCATCATCATTAGCACCGGACATCATCCTTCTTTTTGGTGGCTGTCTCCACTGTGTAGGTTGGCCGCAGTGGATATGAGCATTCACATCTGCTTTGGGAGTATCACATGGTAAAGCCCCAGTCTCTTCGATGGTGTGACTCTCGTACCACTGACCAAAAGCACCGAGACAGTGTATCGTTTTCATTAGTGCTATCTCAATCAGTATAGTCATCATTATAGCTTAACTGTCTCAGTAAATCACTAGCTGTCAATGGCCACTGTCCATTTAGGTGTCACTAAGACATATCACTTATAATAAATAACAGTCTCCAGACAATAGACAGTAGAAATCCATGTTCAGTTGATTCAGTTTCATTTTGTTGTACATCCAAATATAGAAGACAAGCTCAGAGAGGGATGTAGTCATGAATGTTGTTTTCTTCTTCTTCATCTTCTCCACCTCCTCCTCTTCCTCCTTTTCTTTTTTAAATTTATTTTTTTTTAATTTTCCCCCCAACAGGGCAGTTCAATCTACTCTGACACCGCTGCTGCAAATTATGGAGATTTGAAAGTGTTTGAAGGTATCATACCCAGAATTCCCATGAAACGACTCGGCTCTGTGGAAGAGGTATGTTAATTTTGTTTGTTTGTTCAAACCAACAATGGAGTAATTGAAATTGAGCACCATTTAATGCGTAAGGTGTGTAGTTTTAGCCCCGTGTTTGGTGACTAACTAAGCACCATGTAATGCGTAAGGTGTGTAGTTTAGCCCCGTGTTTACAGGCTAACTGTTACATAATAGGTGATATTGTCGGTACCACATCAGCCACCTTTACCTTCTAGGAGTTTTCCTGGTATCAGGGTGTGCTGGAGAGCTCCTTCGTCAGTACTGGGCTAAATATTATTTTCATCATCGTCATGTAGCAGATCCTTTGCAGAACGTCGCTCTCATCACAGTCTGCCTGAAAGAAACTTGGTCTCTAGCAAACTCTTCTGCCTCATGCACTTTCATACTCAAGGAGTCATTTATATCCTGTGACCATCTTTATGTTGGTCCGCCCCTGCCCCTCCTTCCTGGTACCATGCCTTCTGCTATAATTTTTTCCAGTATGTCGTGGCGCATGTTATGACCACAATATTTCAGCTTCCGAGACAGGACGCTGTTTATTAGCCGATCTTTTTTGATGTTTAGATCTTTCAAGATATCAGTATTTCTCCTCTTTTTCGTCCAAGATATTCTTAGAATCTTTCTGTAGCATTTCAGCTCAAAAGCTCCCATTCTCTTTCTTAATGACTGGGAGATAGTCCATGACCCACATCTGTATGTTGCTACAGGGAAGATACATGCTCTCAAAATTCTAATGTGGATCTCCTTGCTGGTGCTTAATCATAGACTTTTAAGGCTGTTCAGTCTCTGCATTGCTATGGCCATCCTCCTTTTAATTTCTGTCATAGAGTCTCCATTTCTATTTATGATAGAGCCTAGATATTCAAAGTTTGTGACATTTTCAATTTCTTCACCATTTATTGTTATTTTTGGGTGACAGCCAGTTTTTATCTACATATCATAGAAAAATATAAAACCAAACAAAAAGTAGTTCAGCAAGCTTCACGCTATAACAAACACAAAGTGAGCGTTGCAGCTACAGAGCCTTCATCAGGACATAAATCGAACAAAGCTACACGAATATACAAAATCACTTGATTGACCTATCCAGAAGTAGCCACATTGATGTCTTGCCAGTGCAATAAAACGACACATGTGGCCCAAGAATAAACAGCCAGAGAATTCTATGGGCCCTAACTAGAGGATTTTAGATAAAACACTGCGTTGACAGTTCAGTCCCCTTGATTTCTATAAACTGATAAATTTACTAGCGAGGAGATTAGAGCTCATGTAGGAAATGTCTGCAGTCATAATCATTTGAACTAAACTGTTGATTGAATTGATCCACTCATGTCATCCTCTTCTTTTGACTCACAGTTAAGCATCCGTCCTCAGAAAACTATTTTCAAAATGTTTGTTTATAGACTTGAACATCCATTGCTAGATTTTGCAGATAAAATTTTCTTTTGAATGAACTGATCAGGCCGACACCAGTTCTCCTTGGTCAGCTCTCAATGTGTGCAGGTAGATTCTAGTGTTGTTAATCTTTGTTTTCCGAAAGACTCCTGTAACTCGTGAGCAACCCATAACTTCTTCTTTCTCTTCTTCTTCACTTCCTCTTTTAATGCTGTGGGTGTCGAGGGAGATATAAGGTTCTGTTTGTAGCCTCGACCATAGGCACATCGTGCTGTTGTAGAGTTTCTCTGATGTTATCCTTCCATGTTGTTCTTGGTCTACCTCGTGCTCTACGTCCTTCTTCTCTTTCCATGTATGCTTTGTATGGTATGGTGTCACAAGGCATTCTCTCTAAGTGGGCAAACCATTTCACTTGCTGTCTTCGTATGTAATGCAGAATTGGTTCTGTGCCGACTTTTTCTCTTATGATCTCATTCCTGATCTTATCTCTTATGGTCACTCCTACAGCCCTTCTCAGACATCTCATTTCCGTGGTTACTAATTTTCTTTTATGGTTTGTTGTGAGTGACCATGTCTGGCACTGGTAGCACAGAGTTGGAATAAATATGCTTTGAATTAGATATCTCTTTGTGCTGATTGGGATTGTTTTATGATGTAAGAGGGGCGCTATCTGTCCCAATACTTGGTTTGCTTTACTGCATCTAATGTTAATTTCTTTACCCAATTTCCCATCTTCGGTAAATGTAGTTCCCAGATATTTAAACTCAGATGCCTGTTTAATGCCTTTGCACTCTATTCCTATGTTTAGATCTGTCTTCTTTTTTTAACCCATAACTGGTCACATTAAATTGGTTACACCAGAGACTGCAATTTGAAGTGGTTAGATCACAGCCTCCAGATCTTTCATGGACTTTATACCATTCTCTGGTCTCAAGAAACTCCTAGTTCTATACAGACTACAGAATCTTACTTCCCTAGCAGGGAGAGCACCATATGTGCAGGTTTCTTCAAGTTGTGTTGCCAAAGTCTTTACAGGATCTCCTATATTATTGTCTGTCTCTGTTTTATGACAGGTTATTCTAGGGTTAGCTGACAAAGTCTTATTTATGTGCTGGTATAAATCTAAAAGACAAACCCCTTTGGCAGTTCTTCTCTAGGGCAACTGCTGATCATGCTAAGCTTACAGCATCAACATTTGGGATTTGTGTTCATCTGCCACCAGAGGCTAAAGCCCTAACAACTACTGTCCTGCTGTCTGTCATCTCTGCCACCACTGATGGGAGCTGTGTTCATCTGCCACTAGAGGCTGAAGCCCTAACAACCACTGTCCTGTTGTCTGTCATCTCTGCCACTAGAGGCTGAAGCCCTAACAACTACTGTCCTGCTGTCTGTCATCTCTGCCACCACTGATGGGAGCTGTTTTCATCTGCCACTAGAGGCTGAAGCCCTAACAACCACTGTCCTGCTGTCTGTCATCTCTGCCACCACAGAAAACATATTTGAATTGTTTTTAATGCTGGCTTCCTTAAACATGAATGCTCTTTTACTCCTGAAGAAGCCTCTTAGAAACTGTGATATCTGTGTGTCTTTGCTTTCAGGTTTCGTCTGCTGTCTGCTATCTTCTCTCACCCGCAGCTGCTTTCATCACTGGAGTATCCGTGAAGGTGGATGGAGGCCAGAGTTTATACACAATCGCAACCTATGATGTGCCAGGTAAGAATTTACCATCACTTACCAGATTTGAATGTAACCTTTGTGAGAAACCATTGATTGAGTACTCAAAGATCTAACATACTCAGTGATCTAATGAACTCAACTATCTGATGTACTCAGTGATCTAATGCACTCAATGATCTAATGTACTCAGTGATCTAATGTACTCAGTGATCTAATGTACTCAATGATCTAATGTACTCAATGATCTAGTGTACTCAGTGATCTAGTGTACTCAGTGATCTCATGTATTCAGTGATCTCATGTACTCAGTGATCTCATGTACTCAGTGATCTAATGTACTTAGTGATCAAATATACTCAGTGATCAAATATACTCAGTGATCTAATGTACTCAGTGATCTCATGTACTCAGTGATCTCATTTACTCAGTGATCTAGTGTACTCAGTGATCAAGTGTACTCAGTGATCAAGTGTACTCAGTGATCTAATGTACTCAGTGATCTAGTACTCAGTGATCTAGTGTACTCAGTGATCTAATGTACTCAATGATCTAATGTACTCAATGATCTAATGTACTCAGTGATCTAATGTACTCAGTGATCTAATGTACTCAATGATCTAATGTACTCAGTGATCTAATGTACTCAGTGATCTAATGTACTCAGTGATCTAATGTACTCAGTGATCTAGTGTACTCAGTGATCTAGTGTACTCAGTGATCTAATGTACTCAGTGATCTAATGTACTCAGTGATCTAGTGTACTCAGTGATCTCATGTACTCAGTGATCTAATGTACTCAGTGATCTAATGTACTCAGTGATTTATTGTACTCAATGATCTAGTGTACTCAGTGATCTAATGTACTCAGTGATCTAATGTACTCAGTGATCTAATGTACTCAGTGATCTAATGTACTCAGTGATCTAATGTACTCAGTGATCTAATGTACTCAGTGATCTAATGTACTCAGTGATCTAATGTACTCAGTGATCTAATGTACTCAGTGATTTATTGTACTCAGCGATCTAGAGTACTCAGCGATCTAGTGTACTTATTGATCTAATGTAGTCAATGATCTAATGTAGTCAGTGATCTAATGTACTCAGTGATCTAATGTACTTAATGATCTAATGTACTCAATGATCTAATGTACTCAGTGATTTTTTGTACTCAGTGATCTAGTGTACTCAGTGATCTAGTGTACTCAGTGATCTAGTGTACTCAGTGATCTAATGTACTCAATGATCTAATGTACTCAGTGATCTAATGTACTCAGTGATTTAATGTACTCAGTGATTTATTGTACTCAAAGATCTAATGTACTCAGTGATCTAATGTACTCAGTGATCTAATGTACTCAGTGATCTAATGTACTCAGTGATTTATTGTACTCAGTGATCTAATGTACTCAGTGATCTAATGTACTCAGTGATCTAATGTACTCAGTGATCAAATGTACTCAGTGATTTATTGTACTCAGTGATCTAATGTACTCAGTGATCTAATGTACTCAGTGATCTAATGTACTCAGTGATCTATTGTACTCAGTGATCTAATGTACTCAGTGATCTATTGTACTCATTGATCTAATGTACTCAGTGATCTAATGTACTCAGTGATTTATTGTAATCAGTGATCAAATGTACTCAGTGATTTTTTGTACTCATTGATCTAATGTAATCAGTGATCTAATGTACTCTGTGATCTTGTGAACATGTATGTATAATTTTGACTTCTCTAAAGCTAAAGATTGTTTTCTAGCAGTGCAGCATCTCGTGACTGCTTCTTACATAACCAAATGAATGCTCTTGAAATAACATTTTTGCCAGATCACAAGCCACTTCCTGCTTACACCTGGGGTGAAGATGCTAGCTTGCAGCAGACGGGCGGAGCCGACACTGGAACAAAGTCGAAACTGTAATGTCTGTTGAGTCTCTGACATTCATTTTGAACATTATTTAATTTATCTGTTGGTGTTTGATATTTACATGCTAAGTTAAAAAAGTTAATGGAGAGGGTTAGCTCTTGGGAATTTTTCTCAAACTGTGATGCATTTAAAAATGCTGTATTTTGCTCAATGTAAACAGATTTTTAAGAACGATATGCAGTTTGTCATATTATATTAGTATGGTTTTATAGATTATATAAGTATGGCATGTGACTGCATTAAACAGATTGGCCACATTTTCTAGTTCACATTTTCAGTGTTTTTTTTTTTTCTTTCTTTGAAAGTTTTCATGTAATATTTTCAAATTTGCTTTTACATAATCTATAATTACATACATCGTTCCACCCACCTTTTTTGTTCTGTTTTTATATTTAGGTCCTTTAACTGGTTAAACAGAACCTTATATCTCCCTCGACACCCACAGCGGTAAAAGAGGTAGTGAAGAAGAAGTGAAGAAAAAGAAGAACTGGTTAAAGTTATAGCTGATACCTCAAGGAAGCAACATTAACAACATTCAACTCAAGAGGTGTACTGTTTGGACAGAATAATATAAAAAAAAGAAAATAGAGCAAGAACAAGATTTGAAGATAAGATGAGAGATACTATGCATCAGACATGTCCAACTAAGGGTACCCCAAGGGCTATACAGGTCTAGTTTGATTGTACTGAGGGCCATACATGATAGCTAGTTGGAGTAACTTAATTTTAAAAATTGCAGAATATTGCCTTTGTGTGGGCGGCAGGTGTGCTTGCAAAGGGCTGAAAAAAACACTCTTGCATTAGTCTTCCTGGAAATTGCAACCCATTGTGAGACATTTTTGCTGAGGAAATCTAGCTTGACAGCCAGAGTGTAGCTGAGGCATCACTTGGCATCTTCAGGCAAGCTAGATTTTTAGAAGATGGCGTGCTATTGCAGAGGGGTGATCTTTTCGCTGAGCACATTCCAGTATGGGTGGAAAAAGCCATGCAAAATAATATTCAAAATGAGAATACTGGCCGCAAAGTTCACCCCTCTGCAATAGCACGCCATCTTCTAACATCTGGACATGTGGTGACTAAATGCAACCAATGGCTGACGCTAAATGCATGAACTTCCACAATTCGGCTGCACCCAACGCTAAGATTTCTCTTTACTTCCCTTCCACAATTCGTCACCTGCACCCCAGAAGTCTGTATTCAGAAAAAGGATGGTTTTTGTTCTTTACGGTTACTTCACCTGTAAACAAAATAAGGCAGTTTGTTGCTGTGCTTGATTGTTGTTGAAATTGTACTTCAAACAAGAATAGACCCACTGCCTCCCTTATTTGTCGTTCATTTATGGAAGCGTCCTTTGACTGTAGTATGCACCTGACGAGATACAGCGAAAGAACGATTTTTGTTTGAAACCCTCTGTCACTTCAAGAGTTAACCAAAACACAAGGACCTACAAACAAATAAAACAGCAACATCACACAGTGAAGCCTGTCATACGCCAGTTTATTGCTGCTTGCTCTGCAACTGTGTCTGTGGTGCTTCATCAGTTAAATGACCATCCCAAGGAGGAATGATGCAGCTGGAGCAGCATAGTCATGTTTGGTGTCAGGTCAAGTGTGTGACAAGTCTTGCACTTTGAAACGACAGAAGAATGTCCGTGTTGTCATCTTTCTCAAGGGTTGACCTTTGTCTCAAAATTGTGGTAACCTTTGACCTGTGAATAGGACAGTCAGATTTAGTGCCAAATGTTTTGTCTTGTGCATAGTAATAGCATTCATTTCTTCTACATTCCCTTCATCTTCCTTCTCTGCTTTGTCATCATCGTTTTCTTCATCTTCCTTCTCTCCTTTGTCATCATCATTTTATTCACCTTCTTCTCTTCTCCTTCTTCTTCTCCTCCTTCTTTTTGTTGTTGTTGTTCTTCTTCTTCTTTTTCTTCTTTCTCCTCTTCTTCTTCTTCATTTTCTTTTTCTTCTTCTTTCACTTTTTCTTCTTTTTCTTTTTCTCCTCCTGCTGCTGGGGCTGATACTGCCTTTCATTTCACTGATGCTGTTTCCTCTTCTTTTTTATTTACAGCAACAACCGTTATTACCCCAGATGTAACGGTTCCAACTGCTGTTACTAAAGCTAATATCACTACTACTACTACTTCTGCTACTAGAAATACTACTATAACGAGCAAAACCAGACAAGAAACATATTTCTGACAAATTCAACAACAAGAGTAATTTCAACACTGGTATCAAAGAATCGTGGAAAAAGGGGGGGGGGGGGGGGGGGGCTAGCAAATGCCAGCGGAAGTCGGATGTTTCGGCCGAAAGGGGCAAATGTCACAGCCATGTCCTCGACGGGCACACCATATTTACATCGGATAAACGCAGAAGACGACAAAGTATCAAAGAATTCTGTCGATGTAAAATAACATAGAAAATATGATTGCTAATCTTAACATAGAAGCCACACAAACGTAAAATCTGGGACTAATTGCTTCAGATGAAACACGTCTACTAGAACTACCAGTTTAATCTGCGTCAGAAGAGTGACATCACAACACATTTCAAATGTTGGACTCTTGACTACAAACTAGTCCACGCTTGACAAGTTTTTAATCTTGCTGCCAAGTAATCCTGTCTGTATTTTAGAGCTGTTTTCTCGCTGTTTTCTCCCGTGCTGAAATGTGACATTTTGTCTGTCGGTAAATAGTTTCCTTTTATTTGCTTTATGTTTCTTCTCTGGGATTGCTGATTGAAAGATTAACACCCAGTGACTTAAAGAGCCACTGATCGGATGCAAATATAACAGAAGCCAATCCCAGAAACAAGGTTCGATTATGGAATAACCTGTTTTTCTGTGTGGACGTTTTGTAGCCATTGTTTCACTCATTGGCGCCAAGAAACGCAGCATACGTTCACAGATTCCCATCTAAAAGCCCAGTGAACGCAAGATGTGTCGATTTTACATCTCTCTGTACTACCCGTTGGGCCCCTGATGCTAAACCTCCTGGGACTGAACGAGTTCACCTTCTTGCGGTTAGCTTTTCTTTTTGTGCGGACACCGCAGACAACCGAATAGATCATCATGCGAAAAACTTTCCCAGAATTGGAGTTACCAACAAACCATATCCAACTCTTATGGAGGTAACTCTTGCAGTAAATGAGTTCCTAAACAAGGGTAACAATGAGTGCTAACTCGACAATTCCACTGCTGCGATGCTTCTATTACTGCAACGACTCGGATTTCTTTCTTTTCGGCGGTAAGCAGCTGTACGCAATACCTGCACCTTTTTAGACATATCTTTTTTTTTTTTTTTCAGCACTATTGTAACAGATACTTTATGATGTGTACCGGCACCTTATATTTTAACAATTTTGTGGTGTCAAAATAGAGCAAGTGAGGAACGAATCACAGTGTCCTGCAACAAAACAAACTTGAATAGAGAAATAGTTACCGCGGACCGAAGATGCCAGGAAAGGATAGCTGGTGAAGCAGAGATGGCGGTACAAGAGCTGATCAGTGAAGATTCGCGCCCATGTGACATCATTATATACAGATGGGTCCTTAGTGTGACGTAAGAAGAGTGGGTGGGGTTTTATTGCAGAGGGGAATGGACACGTTGAAAGCAGAGTGACTTTCGTACAACGTCACTACATCCAGTATGAGAAAGGGAAGTGGAGGCACTAGTGGCAGCTTTACGATGGCTAGAGAGCAGCACAGTCCGACATGTGTTTGGAACGGACTAAACAAAGTACTTCAGAAATTTAAAACTAGTGTCCTACGCCTAGAACCACTTGCATAACGTCATAAGACTCGTGTCAGTATCATGTAAATTTTCGGTCCAAGACATTCGGGTTTACAATGTAATGTGCACGCTGGCGGATTCGCTGTTGCCGCTCCTCTGGGCAGTGAGCTACTTTATAATAAAGAGCACGCGGTGAAGGCTCTATGGATCAAATGGACAGTAAAAAAAGAATCCATACATTGAACGGATAATTCAACAGAGGGTGAGTAGAGGTTCTGGAAGATGTTCAACAGAGGGTGAGTGGAGGTTCTGCAAGATGTTCAACAGAGGGTGAGTGGAGGTTCTGGAAGATGTTCAACAGAGGGTGAGTGGAGGTTCTGGAATGTTCAACAGAGGATTCTGTGTTCAACAGAGGGTGAGTGGAGGTTCTGGAAGATGTTCAACAGAGGGTGAGTGGAGGTTCTGGAAGATGTTCAACAGATGGTGAGTGGAGGTTCTGGAAGATGTTCAACAGCGGGTGAGTGGAGGTTCTGGAAGATGTTCAACAGAGGGTGAGTGGAGGTTCTGGAAGATGTTCAACAGCGGGTGAGTGGAGGTTCTGGAAGATGTTCAAAAGCGGGTGAGTAGAGGACCTGGAAGATGTTCAACAGAGGGTGAGTAGAGGACCTGGAAGATGTTCAACAGAGGGTGAGTAGAGGTTCTGGAAGATGTTCAACAGCGGGTGAGTAGAGGTTCTGGAAGATGTTCAACAGAGGGTGAGTAGAGGTTCTGGAAGATGTTCAACAGAGGGTGAGTGGAGGTTCTGGAAGATGTTCAACAGAGGGTGAGTGGAGGTTCTGGAAGATGTTCAACAGATGGTGAGTGGAGGTTCTTGAAGATGTTCAACAGAGGGTGAGTAGAGGTTCTTGAAGATGTTCAACAGAGGGTGAGTGGAGGTTCTGGAAGATGTTCAACAGCGGGTGAGTGGAGGTTCTTGAAGATGTTCAACAGCGGGTGAGTGGAGGTTCTTGAAGATGTTCAACAGCGGGTGAGTGGAGGTTCTTGAAGATGTTCAACAGAGGGTGAGTGGAGGTTCTGGAAGATGTTCAACAGAGGGTGAGTAGAGGTTCTAAAAGATGTTCAACAGCGGGTGAGTAGAGGCTCTGGAAGATGTTCAACAGCGGGTGAGTAGAGGCTCTGGAAGATGTTCAACAGCGGGTGAGTGGAGGTTCTGGAAGATGTTCAACAGATGGTGAGTAGAGGCTCTGGAAGATGTTCAACAGCGGGTGAGTGGAGGTTCTGGAAGATGTTCAACAGCGGGTGAGTGGAGGTTCTGGAAGATGTTCAACAGCGGGTGAGTGGAGGTTCTGGTGTTCAACAGAGGGTGAGTGGAGGTTCTGGAAGATGTTCAACAGCGGGTGAGTGGAGGTTCTGGAAGATGTTCAACAGCGGGTGAGTGGAGGTTCTGGAAGATGTTCAACAGCGGGTGAGTGGAGGTTCTGGAAGATGTTCAACAGCGGGTGAGTGGAGGTTCTGGAAGATGTTCAACAGATGGTGAGTAGAGGTTCTGGAAGATGTTCAACAGCGGGTGAGTAGAGGTTCTGTAAGATGTTCAACACTGAAAAGGGGCAACCAGGTGGACTTTGGATAGGGTTATAACTGGTGCTTTTAGCGTGTCGACTCTTCGTTGGTTTCTAAGGAAGGAGATGGAGCTCGAGTGGGAATGCCCCGAGTGCAGGATGTCAGTTCTTGTTTGATTCCTTTATTTGTGGTCAGTACCGGCACCGTTTTGTGTATGTATGTGTGCGTGTAAGGTGAGTGTAAGGAAAAAAAGTCCTGCATTACTACAGCTGTTGTTACTGCTGCTGCTACTACTGCTTTTGCTGTAAAATACTTCAGTTAGATTGACAGAAAACTGAACAACCACCTGTTACAACCACGTGCTGGCTATCCTGTTGGCGATCCCTCTTTCCTGATATCACGCCTTCTGCTTTTATTGTTCACCAGATGGCTATGACGCTTGATATGACCACCTTCTGAGACAAGATGCTGTTTATTAGCTAATCTTCCCTAATGTTCAGGTCTTTTAAAATGTCAGTATGTCTTTTTTTCTTTGTCTGTGGTATTATGAGAATTAGTTTGTAGCATTTCCGCCCAAACGCCCTATTTTCGCTCTCAGAGACTGGGAGATAGTCCATGACTCACATCCGTATTTTGCTACAGGGAAGATGCATGCTGGCAACATTTTAACTTTGATTTCCTTGCTGTAGCTTAACCATAGATTTCAATGCTGTGTAATCTTTGTTTTGCTATGGCCATCCTTCTTTTCACTTCTGCTGAACTGTCTCCATTGCTGTTAATTATGAAATCTAGATATACAAAGGTTGTGACATTTTTAATTCGGTCTCATTGGGGGGGGGGGGGGGTGGTATTCTTGCGTGACAAACAGTTCTGTCTCTGGACAATAATTTTGTTTCCTTTAAACTCAAGAAAAGGTTTCGATCTTCACTGTGTTTTTGGACAGACATGAGTAAATGACATTTTTAAAAAGAGGGACTGTGTCATCAGCGTAGCGAAGTTGCGGACTTGGGTTGCCACCAACTATCAACGGATCATAACTGTCATAAGTTTGGTCATTTTTGACATTTCTCGTGCACAGTGCGTGGTAGATTCGGCCGCTGGCCTCTCCTACTGCCTGAATTAGTTCTGCCGGTATTTCGTCGCAACCTGGTGACTTTCCTTTCTTCAGGCTGTGTATTGTTGATCGTACCTCAATCAGTAAAGGCTCTGGTTCTTTTTCGTCACTTTCATAAACTGTTTCTGAATTACTTGTCAGATTCTCCTGCACTTCTCTGCAGTATTCCCCCCCCCCCCCCCCCCCGTTTTAACATGTCGTTTGTTTCTCTTAATGTGTTACCGTTTTATCATTTATTACACGACATGACGGCATACATTCGCTTTTGAATGTTCTAATGTCTGTAAACATGTCTCGTCCTTTCCTTGCATTGAGAATTGTTTTCTTCTATTTTGATTACGAATATATTGTCATCCCCTTGTGGGATGCCATTTTTCGTTATTTGAAGCCCTACTCTGGCTCTTGCCAGGGGCCGCAATATAGCCTGGCCATAAGTATGGTCTCAAGGCTGAACTCGGTTTCTGGGACCTCTCTACGGTGATCCTCATCCGCATGGTGGCATTTTGTGACATCGGGTGTTTATCGCTTGTGTGATGTCCTAGTGGTGTAAAAAATCTACTCTACTCTACTTTGATTGTATTTCAGGTATCCATAATAAATTGTTTTATCTCCTCTGATACCTCTTCTAATTTATTTTGTGTAGTTCCTATATTGGGAGTCGCCGTGGCCGAGTGGCTAGACGCTCGCCGCGGATCGGAAAGTCGTGGGTTTGCTCCCTGGCGGAGACGGACTTTTCTTCAAAAATGACCTTGGCTCCCAGGTCGACCCAGCCTTGAATGGGTACCGGGTGCAATCCCGGGAAGTAGAGGCGGCCAGCGTGATGCTGACCACATCACCCATCCTGTGCCGTTGGTCTATTAAAAATATAGGTCTAGCCCTATATGCCCTATACGCCTAAAGGCGTGGAAAGGGTCCTTTTTTTCAGTTCCTATATGCATGGCTACTAGTTTATGTTCCTATTTGTTTTAAATATCTTCTTTCTTCTGTTAGTTTGAATTTTTCCCCGTTATGTAAATCTGCTTCTTGTGTCGTGTTTAACGATTATGTTTTGAGCTGGTGAGAACATATTTCTTGCTTCACTGGCTAACTCATCAGGCGTCATATCCTCTTGCACTGCCATGAATCCCTCCAATTTGCTGTTAACACCAATGCCGTAATCAGCTTGTATATTACTTAAATCAAAACGTATTAGCGTTTCTTCTTTCATCACTATTTTTATTTTACAATCTGCAACAATACCTGATTGATCAATGACACAGTCAGATTTAGGGAGTGTCTTTGCCGATGTTTTATATACGCTCCATTTTATATTTCCTCCGTACACACACAAACACACCCACGCATATACACACCCACGTCACTATACTGGCACATGCCATATGATGTTATCAGACCCATCAGGACCACAGGTGACTTTCTAATCCTCTTATGATACCCTAATATAACTGGGCTATATAGAATAAACGGTCGCACGGGGTTTACGGGATTGGTACGTGTTTGATTCTCGTCCTTAAGATGTTAAGCCTTCCTCCTGCAATCTTGGAAGGAGGGGGGGGGGGGTGGCTTTAAAACATCTATAAACAACAAGAAAGATGACGTATACATACAACTGCTTCAGTTTGCGACTTCGTCCTCGGCCTCGCTGGTTCCGCTTGCTGAACTGGTGCTCACAAGCCATGACGCAGTCCTGGTACCTGCCGATGATCCGCAGCAGGGAGGAACGCAACTGCTTCACCACCTCGTCGTCAGACTGCTGCACCAGCGACAGCAAGAACTGTTCAAACGACACACCTGCAAAAACCAGTGGTTGAATTAGTACCTGAGAGGCACGACGGACAGGCAGATCGATAAACTGGTATGTAAATAGCTAGACGATTGAATTGGTGAATCGTCTGTAGGATAGCTCGAACCTAATTCTGGTGTCTTGTGAGTCTATCGGAGTGACGTCTTTAGAACTTTTCCGTCTGTCCCCTGCGATAGATAATATTCGAATGTGCTAAAGGGAAGAATGGCAATCACTGGTGATGACGGTCCAAATTAAGAACAAAGATGAAGTTCCTTCTCGTCGTTGCCAGTGCCCTGTTAACGCCTCAGTCTCCTGGGTGGGGGGGGGGGGGGCACTTGCCCCTGGGCCCCATGCTAATCTGTGTATGTCGAGGGAATTGCAGTAAATAAAGACTTTACTTCTATGAATGGTAGCCCTAAAAGCCCCAGCACACCGGTTTACACAGGACCCATAATGCAGTTGTGGCAGCTCTGCGCATAGCACAGATCTGGGGCATTATTGTAAAGACCTTGTGTTTTGCGTGCATTAATCCCTCTCTCGGTCTGCCCACGATTCCCCACCCAATACTACTGTTTAGTAGTGTATATTTGTGTTTGCTTCTACCTTTGCCATCAGACGATCGGCGAAATATCTCTAGGTTCGATTATTTATAGATAGTGTCTTTGAAAGTAATAATAATAACAATAATAATAATAACCATGGCTTTTTCCTTAAATATGCAGATACCAGTACGCATCTGGTTATATATATATATATATATATATATATATATATATATATATATATATATATATATATATATATATGAGAGAGAGAGAGAGAGAGAGATTAATGAGGACCATCATCACAGCACTCCGGACAGATCCATAGATGCTCCGATCTCCCCCTCATCAGCTCCACTAGAGTAAAATGACTGGGCACATCGGTTCTGTGTTAGTTACCCAGACGTCTTATGCCGTTGATCAAATGTCAATGTCTGGCTGTCTGAGCCTGCTCTCCCAGTGTCCACCCGCCTGCTCTCCCAGTGTCCACCAGCCTGCTCTCCCAGTGTCCACCAGCCTGCTCTCCCAGTGTCCACCCGCCTGCTCTCCCAGTGTCCACCAGCCTGCTCTCCCAGTGTCCACCAGCCTGCTCTCCCAGTGTCCACCAGCCTGCTCTCCCAGTGTTCACCAGCCTGCTCTCCCAGTGTCCACCAGCCTGCTCTCCCAGTGTCCACCCGCCTGCTCTCCCAGTGTCCACCAGCCTGCTCTCCCAGTGTCCACCAGCCTGCTCTCCCAGTGTCCACCAGCCTGCTCTCCCAGTGTCCACGAGCCTGCTCTCCCAGTGTCCACCAGCCTGCTCTCCCAGTGTCCACCCGCCTGCTCTCCCAGTGTCCACCAGCCTGGACAAGGATACCGAGTCCGGCTTGCCATCGTGATCATCTTTGCGATATGCAGCTTGCATGGCATCAATCACAGTACATCTGCCCATTGCCGGTCTGGTCACTGTTACCGCCTTGCCCGCCAGATAATCGGCACCCTCAGTGCCTTGAACACTCGTATAGCCCGGAGAAAATAAAGGTTAGGCGAGTTATTCACACACGCACACAGGCCTGTAAGCGAAAGTTAGTAGTTGTTGGTGAAACAAAGGCACTGACTGTATTTGTACATACGCTGTTCCCCTATTCGTTTGAAAGACCTGGACCAATAGGCGCGAAGTCTGTACAGGGAGGGAATGGATTGTTCGCATCTGGTCTCGCACCAGCATAGGCTCGGCCTTAGCCCAAACGCTAACAACGTCAGCACCGTCATCAGCGTCGTTGATTGGTTCATGGAAGTCACGTGACGTGTCTTGATCTGAAATGGGAAAATGATAGAAGCAGGTAAGAGATTAAGTAGGTGCTTTGCTGGGGAAAAAAACATCGTCAAGTTCAACCAGCCCATTAAAAAAAAAAAATAATAACGCATGTGATGGCAAAAATCGAAACATATTAACAAGTACGTTAAGCTTACACAAACCACCATATCAGTAAATCGCCCATAGCGACCTGCAATCAATCTATCTCCGACGAGGATACACACTGCTACCTAGGTCTGGCTCATACAATCGAATTGCTGAGGGAAATCTAAGTCTGGCAACGAAATTAACCATACTTCACCGAAACCGTGAAGTAGACAAACCTCCCTCTCCGACTCACCAGCCTGGAAACCAACGTCTTGTTAACAGTTACGAGCGACTGCACAACAACGAGACTCCCGCAGCGAGGCTTGCGAGGTCGGAGGGCGGGAGCTAAAGAGACCTTCTCGGGATCTACACGGTTCTTTATCAACTTCTGGTCCCCGAAGTTGCCAGTTTTTTCCCCTAAATGAGCTGACCAATCAAATTCTAAACGGCTTTTGGCGTCCTGCCACACATTAATCAAGAAAAAATAGTGACCAAAAAAAAAAAAAAAACAAAGCGTGGGTATACAGCATCCATGGGTGTCCAGATCCACAGTTTCTTGTGGGTGGGGTGTGTTGTTGGATCGATTCAGATGTACCAGTGTACAAAATATGTTGACTGGTGCACATGGATGATATCCAGTAGACATGGTGCCTTGTTGGGGCTGAAAGAGTCAGCGGAAAAGTGCGGTTGTATGTGTCAGCTTCTTTGCCTACGTTGTGCATTCTAGTCATGTAATGTTTTCAGAAGTTTATATCTGTCTTCAGTAAAAAAAAAAAAAAAAAATTAACAGAAACTTAGCAAATTGATAGAGGCACGATCTAAACCAAACCCTAAATAAAAATGCCAAGATACCAGTAACATAATCGCGTGAAAAGTGCAATGAAAATGGAATGCTTTTAACGTGCCAGATTTCACATCATCTGGAGATTTCCAAATGCAATTGTAAAGCCAAAATGTCACATCTTACCTTTAGTGTCACGCCGAAAGAACGAACAAACTTTATTTGCAAAGGGTTACAAATTGGGCACGCAGGCCCGTCTGACATTCGGCCCTTCTAAGCACTCGTTTTTCACAGTACCTATGCCTGCTGCCAATAATGCTTGTTATGGATTTAATAAAGAAATGTAAATTATAGAATAATGCATACACACATCATATGTACAAAATTGCACACACTCACACACACGTATACATACCCCTACGTTCTCATACATGCACACTCATATACAGACATACGTAATGCATACACACACTCATCTACATACATACACAAACATAAAACACCTGTACATACACAGACATAAATGCAAAAAAAGAAAACACACACACACACTTACATTTATGGATATACATGCACACAAACACATTCCATACATACACACCTATGCATGCATCCATGTATACACACATATACAATCACATGTACAGGCACCAACATATGCCCACGACCACACATTTACACTCACATGAATACATACACCCACATACATGCATACATACATACATACATACATACATACATACATGCATACATACACACATTTACACATACACTCACATCTTTACACACATACAAAGAAAAAGAATGAACACCGAGGAAAGTTAACTAAACATCACCACTGCTGCGTCTGCATGTCATTACACCAAGGGGCGTGGTCGTGAGTGTTTATGGTGGGCAGAAAATAGAGACGGCATTTAAACAACTATGTAGTGGGCAATACTGGTGATGGAGAAACCTTGTTTAGCATTGTAGAGGAATTATATGTAACAAGGAAGAGTTGAAGCAATGATAGTAAATATTTAATATGTTAGTGCGAAGAAAAAAAGAAGCAGTTAGTGTGATAGGCTGGGAAAAGACAAAGACTACTGTTCAGCAGCTTGGAGATCTTGATTTAGTCTGGTTAAAAAATGACCAAGAGGCCACAGGAACAGCTTTTAGTTGTAGACAGTAAAATGAGGAAGTGTCTGGCCACTGGGAATAAAAAGGCGAACTGACTCAGTATTTGCCTCCTATCTGGCTTCCGGAACCGACCCTGCACAACACCGACCTAGCTATTGCAGCTTTGCACATCGGGCAGCCAGCATGGGTACGGGCAACTGCAGGGAAAGGCTGATTGTCAGGCTAATTTCGCGGCGGTGGCATGTTTCCATAGTTAAATTTGAAATTTCTCCAGCCGTGTTAAATTTGATTTCCATTTTGTATTCTCGCTAGGAGGTAGTTTGATGGAAGGCCACTATAAGTGATTTGTTGGCATATTGAAGCTTAACGTACATGTTAAATATGTTTAAATTTTAGCCATTGTTGAGGTAATCTCGCTGAGCGTTTGGTGTCATTATCACATTTCCTTGTTAGCTGACGATTGGTTTAGATTCTGGTCAAGCACGTTGGTTGTTGTTAATGTTATTTGTGGACCACGCTGATTTTATGTTAAATGAAATAAACAGATGTTCATTGTAGTAATCATAGTTCCAGTTGTTTTTCGTTCAGATTAGGACTTTAAGTTAATGTGAATAGTCTAGTATTTGTTGCTTGGCTGATCTAGACTTTACACAAAAGATGTCCTGTCAGGGTGAGATACTTTTGATCTTACTACCGCCTTAACGAACTTTTTCTGTCTTGTTACTGAGGCAGCTTTCATTGGGGCTTGGTTCCCACTCGCCACATTACATTGTTAGAACTTGTTTTATCGGAGTCGAGGAGATTTCAAGAAGCAGATTTCCATATTATCCTTTATAGTTATCTCTTCTCTTTGCTCCATAACAAGTTACCCAGTTACCAATTCTGCTTTGCTTCTAGTACATTAGGAAGAAGAAGGGAGTAGGCTTCTATAAACTACAGCAAGTGTGTACAGTGAGTCAGTAACAACTACAACAAGTGTGTACAATGAGTCAGTTACAACTACAGCAAGTGTGTACAGTGAGTCAGTTACAACTACAACAAGTGTGTACAGTGAGTCAGTTACAACTACAACAAGTGTGTACAATGAGTCAGTTACAACTACAGCAAGTGTGTACAGTGAGTCAGTTACAACTACAACAAGTGTGTACAATGAGTCAGTTACACCTACAACAAGTGTGTACAGTGAGTCAGTTACAACTACAACAAGTGTGTACAGTGAGTCAGTTACACCTACAACAAGTGTGTACAGCTGGTTTTTGAGCCAGTAGATGGCTGATCAGGTGAGTGACATGGTAAATGAGTGAGTGGGTAAATGAGTGAGTAGGTAAATGAGTGAGTTGGTAAATGAGTGAGTGGGTGAATGAGTGAGTGTGTAATGAGTGGGTGGGTAAATGAGTGAGTGGGTAAATAAGTGAGTGGGTAAATGAGTGAGTGGGTAAATGAGTGAGTGGGTAAATGAGTGAGTGGTTAAAAGAGTGAGTGGTTTAGGTAAATGAGTGAGTGGGTAAATGAGTGAGTGGGTAAATGAGTGAGTGGATAAATGAATGAGTGGGTAATTGAGTGAGTGAGTTAGTTGGTTAGTGGGTGGAGTGTAACAAAAACAAATCTAGCGACTGAGAGAACCAGAGAGACCATTTACAGTCGGAATGAAAGGAGGTTGATTACAACAGGGAAGACAAAATAGTTACAAAAAAAAAAAAATAATATGTACATTTACACTAAATGGTGAAAAGGACACGAGAGGCGATTAGAGCATGAAATATTGAACTGGTAATTCCAAATGTCGTAAAATTGAGATTAACTACAACTGTCACTGGACACGTTACTGTCGAGGTGGGATGGCAAACGGGGAAGGTGAGGAGAAGAAAGCAATAAATAATTCCTTTCATGAAACAAGATGTGGATATTCTTGCCGTTTGCCTTTGTTTCTGTTTGCACTTTTATGCAAAATTCCACACAGGGGTTCTCACACGGGAGCACAAGTCACATTGGTGCTGATCATGAAAGTAGCAGGTATCGCGGGGAGAACACAAGAATAACGTTGGATCAAAAAGAAATGAACAATGCACTCGGACTAAAAAATAATAATGATATACAAAACGCTGATGGCTGACTTCTGGTGTTAACAACACATTTAAGGTATCTGCTTTTCCTGTGAAGTTGGAGTTCATCTGCCCGAGAGGCAACGAACAAGAACTGCACACAAGTAAGCCAGTAAACGGATATTTACGCAAACCTCAGGTTTCTGGTAGAAAACCAGTTCATATAACGAACAAGCAGAAGTTTCTATCGAAAATTCACTGATGGTGAACAGAAAGAATAAAGTCATCTGTTCTTGTGTGCCATATCGTGTTTTTATAGAATGTGACAACTATAATATCATGGCCAACTCAGACACAAAAGGAGTGATGACATTCTCCAGAAAATAACGAACCACGAATATCATAATCGATTACCATCAGTTGAAGCAAGAAAAGGATTTGGGGAGCATTTTTGTCAGAAGACGAAAGAATTACTAAAGAAATCCAACAAATATGCAAGAAACCCAATCAAGTTTTAGACCAAATGGCACGAATTTTGAAATGCTTCCATGATGCCTCAGGAACGATGTGATATCAGGAGAAGAGTCGGCACAGAACCAATGCTGAACTTTGTAGGTAGGACAACAGATTGAATGATTTGGCCACGTAACACGATTTGCATCAGACAGGGCTCCACAAGAGCAATGTTATACAGATACAACGGTAACAGACCCAGAGGCCGACCACGCCGGATATGAACCTCATAAATATCAGAGGCACTAAAAAGTACTTTATATGAAGCGAACAAAAGAGCCCGTTCCAGAGATCTCTTCCTGCCCTAACACTGCGAGGTATTCCAGGTGTAGAGAACAGAAGAATGAGAAGAGTGGTTTTATTGCTTAAGCATAGATACTTCAAACAACATACAACTGACAGCTCTGGTGTTTAAAGACAGCAGAAACAGTAAAAATACTTTGTATAAGAGATGAAT